AGGCCTCTCTCATCTCTTTTTGAGGGAGAACTTGCACAATTGGTGGCTGAGTAAATACTTTTTTGCCCCACTGTATATATATATATATATATTAGGGTTGGGCGATGTCTACAAAATTGGCATCGGACCATGTCTACATTGAAACATCGTGATGGACGATGATTTAGGGGGTGTGCCCGAAGCGTGAATCCGTATTCAGAAAGACACGGAAAACAAATAATGATTGCTAATGGTTGCCTGTTACATTACAGTACATACAATTTCATTTATCACATAAACAGAGTAAGGAGAGATGACTGAGGATGATGATGAATGATTTGCAGATCCTGAGCACCACTGACAAACATCTAATCTTGTAAAATGTGTGGTAAGTACTGCCGCTCCATAGTATAAACAGAGTACGTGCGATCGCAAATCTCGAAAGTGAAACTAAAAAGCGTTTGCACTCAAAAGCAGTTTCAATGCCAGGCATAATAGCAGCTCCCCGATTCCTGCAATTCTTATACAGTATAATTACCAAATGATATAACTGCAAGAGAAAATATTGAAATATATATTTTCCTCCCATCTTTTGTTTATTGCCTTTAGGGGTTCCGTATACACGTAATTTTCTTTCCGAATACGGTATTTGGATGCGGCGGATTGGGGGCATGACTCACACTGACATGACTCACTACCTAGTTGAAGCACCATTGGCAGCCTCAAGTCTTTTTGTGATGCACACATGGATTCAGATTTTTTCTGCCATTCTTCTATAGATCTTCTTGAGTTATGTCACGTTGAGCGGGGACTGTCCGTGGACAGCAATTTTCAGGTATCTCCAGAGATTTTTGACTACGTTCACATGTTGGCACTGGCTGGGCCAAAAACATTCACACATGTTAAGGCAATTTTGCATTGTCTTGGCTGTGTGCTTAGGGCCATTGTCCTGTTGGATGGTGAACCTTTCGACCATTTTGAGGTTTTCATAAAAAATTCAGTAGGTTACAGTAGGTCACCTCTCTTACCAAGACCCTTCTCCCCTGATTGCACAGATTGAACACTATGAAGAGTACTGGTTGTTCCTAACTTCTTCCATTTAAGAATTATGGAGGACACTGCTCTTGAGAACCTTCAATACCCTAGGTTTTTTGGTAGCCTTCTCCATATATGTGCCTCAACCCCGTGCTGTCTTTGAGCTTCATGGCTTGGTTTTTGCCCTGATTTGCATTTGTAGCTGTTAGACCTTACACAGATAGGTGTGTGCCTTGCAAATCATGTCAAATCAACTGAATTTGGCACAAGTGGATTTCAATCCAAGAACAGAAACATAGCAAAGATGGTCAAGCAAAAAGGGATGCACCTAAGCTATATTTCAGTTGTCTGAAATTGAATACTTATATCTTTTTTTCTTTTTCTATTTAATACATTTCCCTTTTAATACAAGGGGTGTGAATACTTATATGTTAATAGTACTTACATTGTGGGGGTCCCTACTTGCAAGCAGTCTGAATGCAAGGACCGCAGCACTCTGTACTCTAGTTGGAAGTTTTTCAGCTCCAGATGTGTAGCCTGGAAGGAACTTTAGCAGAGTCTTGATGCTGGAGGGATGAGCTGCGTTTCCCAAGGCCTTCAGTGCAAGGACCATACCCTCCTCCAAATTTTTACTTAGGCCACTTGTAGCCATATCCAGTAATGGCTGAACAACATTATTTACAAAGGATATAGAAAATGTAAATATCATATAATTAAGTTCCACATAAAACTAGCAGATTATAAAATATGATATTTGTATTAATCATCTCGCATACAGAAGTAGGAGACCACATATACCTGCACCACAGTGACGGGGCAGGGATCAGTATACACACAGTATCTGTATACTAGAGAACCATATGCCAAAACTACAGTGTTCCACAGGAGAGGCTGGGATTTGCTGAAAGGTATTGAGAGGAACTCCTGGAAAGCAGAACAGAGCATTAGAAGGCAAATATACATGACATAAATGATTGTAACAAATGTTTAACTATAGGTCACTAGCTCACCTGAGCTAATGCAACTGAGACAGGCACAGCAGACAAGTGGTTAAATGCCACTACCAGTGCCTGTCCTGCCTCATTCGCAGTAATGTCTCCTGCTTTGAATCTGGTCTCAAGGAATTTGAGGATCCTTTCATCTGTTACCTCCACAACCAAGTCCAGAAACCACCTCCTAAAGACCAAAAAAAAAAAGACAAGTCAGTAGGATAAGATCTAGGATTGCATAGTACGTAGACAGGTGTAAACAAAATACCTGTGCTCATCATTTCCCGAGACCTGCTTCCATAACTGGTCTAGATTCTCACGTGTTGCCACACGTAGCAACTGAATTAGATTCAGAACCTCAGTGCTGCTTGAGCTGTCCACTTGATATATGTTAGCCTGTGCTAAGCGCTTAACTAAATCTAGAATCTGTTGGAGTACAGAACAGATCAAAGTCTACAGTACAGATCAAAATCTGTTTGTGAGTTTATTCACATATCTGTATATATTTCAATGTTTATGAGTGTATGATCTTGGGGTTTGCCTTTGGCACTGGTTCGTTCAGGTTGATCATCACAACGGGAATTGGGTTGAGGTCCTTTTCTGTCCTATACATCAGGTTGCCTCTGCTCTGCACCTGTCCGGTCACTATTTTGTCAGTTGTGTCTGAAACTTTGAGAAGCTCAATGTCCCGTCTGGAAAAATGAACACAACTATGTCATGCACAATCCGCAGTGTTGCAACAATTTGTTAGCTAATGACGAAAGCACGTACAATGCTAACATTCTGGAGTTTCCTCCCTTTACATTGAATGGAGAGAAGTATTGACGCTCCTGAGCAAATGCTTTAGTAATCAAACCGCCATCTGCTGTGGACTTCACTGTGTATGTGTGTTTCACCGTTGAAACAACACTCTCACCTCTCTGTAAGTTTAAACAGCGTTCAGATCAGTTAAAGGATGAACTTCCAATTGTTATTTTCAAGTTTGAAAATGGAATAAATTGAAATGTAACGAAACACACCTGTTTGCTAAGTTTGTCTTCAGGGGCAAGTGCCATACCTCGGTATAAAGCAGCTGGCTGTTGACAGTTGGTGATATCAACCATTTGGGTCACTTTTAACTCTTTGGCATTATTGTCTTCTTCAACAGTGTAACTGCTTTGACATACACCATGAATTCCCAACTAAAGATATACAAAAAATTATTATTTTTTCATTGTTTTGCTTTTCCCATAGAGTCATACTCTTATTAAGGACTGTCTTGTACAGTTGATATGTAGATTTTGTACCTCCACCAGTTCGTAAATACTTTGTGTGGTTTTGACTGTGACTTGTAGAAATCCAAGGATCCCCCTCACAATATTTACAACTGTGTTTGAGACTCCAGGTGCAGTGCGGATGTCACTAATTTGACCTTTAGAGAATTCAAAAACGACTGGCTGGCTGAACTCGGCAGATAGACGCTTAGTGAGCTTTTGGGAAGGGCTGAAGACACTTTTCCTGGGTAAGCCATTAAAGTCTTCAACATCTACATTTGATATCTTCAAATGAAAAGCACATTTTATAACATGTTTAGACAATATCTAGTTATTTTTACTGCTGAGGTCAGAAAATAATAATAATAATAAAAAAATAATAATAATGGAAATGGAGCAACGGTATTGGTACCTGAAGCACAAATGTTTGTGGTGATTCACCAATGATTTTAAAAGTGCACCTCAGCTTCAGTGCTGACTCAACCAAGTCTGGCAGTTCTCGTCCCACTCGCACCAATCCCTCATATTTATACTCATACGTTTTTTTAGAGTTCAGGAAAGGCTCTAAAATAATGGCAATTAATAAATTTCAGAAATTTGAAATGACAAATTCTGAAACAGTATGTATCTAATATGTATCTGAACCCTAATTAAATTTTAAAATCTTTATTATTGACATAAACATCAAATACAATAATAACATTTATATTAGAATAAGGAGAAAATCTCTGTAGGGTTATGGGTAATATACATTATAGCATTTACATACCGTAATTGATGTTCTCGCTGGCTAATAGGGAGGAAAAAAGGAACATTACTACTCTCCTTTTATATAAAGTAGCATTAAAGTACAATCTTTTTTCCTGTGCTCAGTTCTAAACAAAATGAATTATAATGGCCACACTCTTAAACATGCAGTTAAATCTCTCCTGGTCTTTATGTACTCACCAGCCAGGGCTACAAGGAGACAGAGATAGAGCCGCCACATGTTGAAATCCAGAGGTGGTACAAGCAACTTACCTCATCTTTTATAACAGGGAGCTGTATTTCCCTCCTACCCCCTTATCTCATGCAGTTAGTGAGGTAAAGTGACCCTGTGGCACAAGATTGTTCCTGTATTCTAAAACACAAACATTTGCAGATTGTAGAACATGCAGCAATACGTTTATTTGCTGATTCTTATTTTGTTTTGTGTCCATGGTTAGCTGTAGCCTAACATGGCTAAAAGGTAAAGCATATGAAATGGAAAATATATGCCCTATGCCTGATTACAAAGAAATGTGTGTAATTCAAACTATTTCAAAACACAAAAATGTAGACATTGCTCATCATATTAGTGGTACGTTCATATAAATTTTTTTCTGTTACCTTGTATACAATGAAAAACTTTACTTCATGAAAAATTATTCCGTAAATGCTAGAATATGAGAATGAAGCTCACTGGTTTGTGTTGCAGAAATAGTTTGAGTAAACAGAACTAGGGGACAAAGGTGTGAGACAGGTCAATGTGATCATAGACAGTGTCATCACAACCTATTAGGAGAGCATGTGACCTGCTAAACAAATAACAAGATCAAACTTTTACAAACATCTGATATCCAAGCATGAATTTAAATATAAATAAACACACATACATATACTTATCTAAGCATGATTAGAAGTCATTTCCCACTCTGAAACCTTAACATTTTCTATAAAAGATATTTCATAAAACTGTTTTTCTACAGTTTTTAACACAATGCAAAAAATTAAAAATAAATAAATAAAAATACATAATAAATCATAATAATAAAAATATAAAAACTCAACAGTCAATCAATGATTTGCTCATCCTCATTTCATGCCAAATCCCTTTTATTTACCTCAACATTCATCAATGCACATGTACAGAGAACATCAAATAAGGTAAACAGAAGCTCAGACTTTGTGCTTGATGTGTAAGAATTTAGTTCACAAAAAATAAAAGAAAGAAAATCCAAACATGTGCAACTAACTTTCTTTTGTGGAATGTCTCGGTTACGTATGTAACCCTCGTTCCCTGAAGGAGGGAATGGAGACGTCACGTCGGTGACCGACGAATTGGGATCACGCTTAGAGAGACCAATCCACTTAGAGTGTAAACTAAACGAGCCAATGCACATTGGCATGCGATGATTGCATCAAGGTTACATAAGTAACCGAGACGTTCCCTTTCAGTCAGTCACTCCGAGTCACATCGGTGACCGATGAATTGGGATCCTTACCAAAGTGACATGAATGCTGCCCCTTCCAGTGTTCTGCACGAGCCTTCTGCACCCCTTTTTGGTGTAGGCCAGGACAGTGTTTCTTGTTGATTTGGTACATGCAATTGAAATGTCTGCTTGAACAGGCGTTTTGGACACCTCGCTCGTTTCCCCTCCATGATGAATGAGCTGTACTGGCGTGGCTGGAAATAGCTGGCTGTGGGCATGCCTTGATTTTTGCGTTCCTCTGAAATGAGCTTCATACTTTCATTAGGACTGTGCTGACTATCCTACACACCATACAAGTCAGGCTAGTGGAGACACAGAAGACACAAGTTTCTCAGATATCGTCGCACTTTAGAATTTTTTTTGTTTTGCCTCTTGCATTTAAAGCCATGGGAACAGTGATGCTCATGGCTAGATGGCTGCGTAGGCTGGCTCATTGGTCTGGATGTATGATTCTCGCTTTGGGTGCGAAAGATCCTGGGTTTAAATCCCGGAAAAGCCTGTGATGAGGCTTGGTCCTGAAGCTCTTTTGTCTCTTTAGGCTCACAAGCAATCAGGAAGAATTTGGCAAATTGGGCAGAGGCTCAATCATTGCCAGGCCATTTAGTTCAGTTGGTTAGAGTGTGTTGCTAATAACCCCAATGTTGCGGGTTCGATCCCTGTACGGACCAGTCTCTTTTGTTCTCTGGGAGCTCAGCTCTGCTCTTATGTCAAGTGATGGGTGGTCTCACGTAAATCCCTGCTGGCTAAAGGGCTTGCGGTTGTGGCCAAAATAGCTCAGTTGGGAGAGCAGTAGACTGAAGATCTAAAGTTTGAGCCTATAAGTGATTTAGTGAGCATCAGCTGCTTCTGTCAAGGTTCCATGGTGTAATGATTAGCACTCTGGACTCTGAATCCAGCGATCCGAGTTCAAATCTTGGTGGGACCTGCTTTTGCCAGGAATGTGTGCAGGACCCAGTCCGAAAAACCATTTCGGCACCCAACGCGTCGCTTCACAGCGTCAAAGTGCAGTCTCTTTATGGAAGTGAGCGTAAAAGGGCAGGATCCAGCTTGGAGAATGCGGGCATCGATCCCGCTGCCTCTCACTTGCACCTACTGCATCCCACCAACTGAGTCAAAGTAAGCCCACATGAGCCAATTGCGTTTCTCTCCTGTGGCTTACTTTTGACCAATCGCGTTTCGTGGCTTACTTTTGACCAATCACGTTTTTTTCCGGTGGCTAACATTTGACCAATCACGTTTCTCTCCTGTGGCTTACTTTTGACCAATCGTGTTTCATGACTTACTTTTGACCAATCACGTTTCTTTCCGGTGGCTAACATTTGACCAATCACGCGATTGGTCAAATGTTAGCCAAATGTTCTCTCCTGTGGCTTACTTTTGACCAATCGCCGGCCGCTATTATTGTCATCTTTGCGATTGGTAATGCTAAGCTTTACTTAATTATTGAATATCATTGAATATCATTATTTGTTCATGTATAATGTGTATTTTTGGAAAATTAAACGTGCCAATATAGCTAGCTAGCATGTATAGGACACGTTTTTTTCAGTACCTGTGAACCTGTAACTTTTCCCAAGATAAATACGTAAAAAAAATAGCCCGATAAATCGGCCATCCGCTAATTAAGCTATATAGCTGTCAACGATGTGTGTATTGTGTGCGAATAAAAAATTACTAATATTTATTTACTTATATACAGAGCTGGGTAGATTACTTACAAATTGTGATCCGTTACTGATTCCAAATTACATGACAAAAATTGTAGTTAGTAACATAATCCATTACATTAACATTACACATTTTAGGTAATATAATCAGATTACTTTTAGATTATTATTATTATTATTATTAGATTACTTTTGACCTAACTTGTTTATCACACTTATTCAAACAGGATAATCTTGTACCATATTGACATAAAAATGCAAAGAGTAAGAAAATATATTCCATAATGTTATTAACAACATGAGTATACTTAATTATTAAAATATTTATTTTAAAATCTCAGGGGTACTTTAAGTAAATATATTAGGTAAAAGAGGATCAGATGAGAAAAAAGTTTGTTAATTTGTGCATTATAATGTGTTATAAAAGCCTTGGTTAAAGGTGGTTAAATAATCTACACAGTGATAATTCAAATAAAAATTAATGTGTTTATCAGTAGTTGATGCAATGTTGAAACACTTCTTAAACCTGAAATGATTTGTGTATATCAGTGGTCAAATGCTGTGTCGCCACCTGATTAGTAACTGGTCTTTGTGTGAATGTCAACAAAACTGGAATACTTTTTGAATGTATATACGCAATAGGCTATTTTAGAAAAGAAAATTAAAAGAGGAATTAGGAAGAATCAATCAATTATGAATAATTTATTGCTATTGTGTAAATAATCATGTAATACATAAAATAGTAACTGTAGTCTGATTCCAAGTATTTTAAAATGTAATTTAATCTAATTACAGGTACTTAATTTTTAGAATCTGATTATATAATACATTTACATGTAATCAGTTACTACCCAGCTCTGCTTATATATACTACTTATATTTGGTAATAATACTAGTGACCTCCGCTGAGCCCCCTGGCAATCCTGGGCTCCTAGAATCATTACTAAAAGGAAATTTCAGACTTTATATTTGACTTTACACATTTGATATATCAGGGATTCCTGTCTTCTGTAGGAAACTCATCGTCAGGCTAGTTTATGGTCATGTTTATTACCACAGTAATATGGTTTACGTGTAGCTTGTTAAATTATCATTACACACTTAACGTACAGGTATCTTTAATTTTGCTAGAGCTAATTGTCTGTTTCTGATTTTCATTTCAGAAAATGTATGCATATGCATACCCCTTTTTTCGACTCCAATCGGCAACATCAAGCCGACTCCTCATGGTGCCATCGGCGGAGATGAAATGCTTTGAAAATGTGCAGTCTGGAAGGGCCAAACCTAAGGAGGAGGTGCTGGTAGAGGCCAGTACTTTTGTCATCGCAAACGGTGGAGACCCCAGTGACCAGTTTTTAGTACCGGCTCACTGCAAACTGAGATTTAGATGGCTCCTGGAAAACTCCCTGGGGTGCACAGTGTACTTGGTTCTCAGCATTTACAAAGAGACAGAGCAGACAACCCCCCTGTCAGAAAATAAACAACTGCTCCTACAGTACACTTCACATATTAGAGAGATGGCAGAAGAAGTGGAGAAGTATGAGAGGAAGCAGGAAATACAAGCAGAAGCCCAGGCAACTGGAGACCAGGGCTGCTTGATGGTGGAGTTTGGTGACTTCCAGGGCCGGTCCATAAAATATGTTTATAAGGACCAGAGCAAGGAGGCCCAAGCCCTCATCAGGTACCTGGTTAAGAGAGATGCCAGACCCAACACCAGCATGGCCATTTTCAAGGCTTATGTCCTGAAAAGACAGGGTTCAGGGTTCTGCTGTGAGCACCAGTGTACGACAGCCTGCACCTCCACCTGCAACCTCCAGTGTCTCTGCACCTCCACCTGCAATCTCCAGTACCTCTGCACCTCCACCTGCAGCCATCTGAACTGCTGTACAGCAGACCGCCACTGTGAAAGCCCTGTTGGCGCATGGCAAACATTTGTCTCCTTCCCAGCTGGCACGAAAACTCATGTCACCAGTTAAACCCTGTGAGTAGGAGTGTGAATATTGAATTTTCCCTACAGCAGTTCTACATGTATTAATTTAGTGTTATGGCAAACTTGTCCACTTGCTGTTTCCAGATCCATTACTGCAGTCTACTTTACCTCCTCCAGCAGCAGAACCCCCAGCCAAACATTTGGCCTGAAGACAGCTTTTCGTTATTGGTAAGTAAGCACCATCTTACATATGTTTGTCTCCGTGTATTGTTCACAGTAATAGTTTTAACATTTGTGCTCCAGGCACTTCCGTTCCCATTGCTGAAGGTGATGATGAGGGGCTTGTATTTGCTGCATCACAATGTGAAGCACAGCTAAATACAGGTGTGGCATGACGACACAAATGCAAATATTATAAGAATGTTTTGTGAAAACACACTGAGAAGCATTATGTTTGGGAAAAAAATCATTTTAAAATATTTTTTTGTTTACAATACAGAATTATGTCACATCATGCCTCAAGCGGGATGCATACTTTGAGTGCACTTCTTCAAAACCTTAAGGATGTCCAAAGGTGTCAGTGTTTTTATTTTGGTTTCCAAACTTACCTGTTGTTAAACAATCACTGGATAACCTTTTTCACATGGCTTGCTCTACTCACTCACTCTTTAGCTCCCCCTGAGTAGACAGGATGGTGGAGATTCATTGTTCTAATGATTAGAGGGACATCTGATCCTCAATAAAGTGTACACTGTGTTCTTTGCTTCTTAACACTAGTACCATTTTCTTCTCTAATTATTAATACTTGTCCAAAATTACTGCTTTGGCTGCATTTATGGCATATTATTATCAAATGCAACAGTCATCCTTATACTGTTTTTGTTACTGTTCACTCAGAGGCCTGTGCTGGTTCGTCTCCATCATCGGAAACACCAGATGCTCCACATCATCAGCCACCAGCTGAGCTTCCATGTCACTGGAAAGATCATCTTCCACCTTTCCAGCATGAGTGGATCCGGAACACGCTATTTAAGGCCAACCCATGAACCGGCAAGCCAGAACTAGTGTCCCAGCTGAAGCTTTGGTGGTATCCTCTTCAGCCCCCTTTAAATTTACACTCAGCCGGCCACCTCACCCGACCTCTTCTTCTGTCGGCCCCTTTTCTTATGGATGCCGCTTAAGATGTGGTTAATTCCTCTTGCATGTGTTCACCCAGTAAGCACAAACTAATAGCAGCAGGACTTTACCATACTGTGCGCAAGGTCTTGGACATCAACGGGTGGTATGACCTTGCCACTGAGTATCTGAACCTGAAGTATCCTGCCTGGTCTAAGGACATCTTAAGACAACTGGATATGGGCCACCGCTGTCAGTTTCCAGCTTTGCTGACATACAGGTAATTCATAATGACAATCATTTATTGTTAGGCACTTTTATTTGTTATTTTTTACCAACCAAAGTATTTGCATGATTATACTGTTGTTTCCTTAGATACTCATGTGACAACCGGGTGCTGAGGATGATGAGGGAGAGGACACTGGGCAACAGTGTGATGGAACAGCACAGTGAGGCATGGACACAGCGTGTCTTGCAGTACATGACTGCCTGCGAACCATTCACAAGGTCCTCCCTTGTGCAGCTTCCTGTGTTTGCTGAGCCTCCTCTTTTACCTGCCCTACCTAAACCTAAGTGGCTGTTAGCCGTGTATGCCAGGGATGTTCTGGGGCGACTGCATGGGGTCATGGCCAAAATTTCATCTGTCTTTGGCTGTGTTCTCAAGATGGATTCCACAAAAAAGGTATAACAACCCTGTTTATATCCAGAAATTTGCCAGATATGGATATGTGTGTGTACAGAATGAACACAGTTTTTGACCAAAGGTTTTCCAAAGAAACTTGCCAGTGCTGCTTCAGAAACAGCTGGCTGGTGCACAAATGTGGGAAACTAGCACGGCCAGGTCCTTGTCTCTGTGCTGACTGCCGCTGAGGGACATGGACTGGACCCCATGGCTGCGGGCCTGATGAAACGCTACCGGGAGGCAGGAGAGGCAGCCCCAGAAGTAATGTACGTGGACAGAGATTGCTGCAGTCAGCACGGCCTGTCTCGGGTGAAGATCATGTTTTCGGAGTGGGATGAGCTTGTTGTGCGCCTCGACATCTGGCACTTCAGGCGGCGATTTGCTGCCGGTGTCACAACAGAGGCTCATCCACTCTACGGGATCTTCATGGCACGTCTGTCCGCGTGCATCTTTCAGTGGGATCCAGAGGATGTGGCTGCTCTTTGCCGTACAAAGGAGGGTGAGCTTGCGGCAATGAAGACT